GTGATCCACCCGCCTCGGCCTCCCAAAGTGCTGGGATTACAGGCGTGAGCCACCGCGCCCGGCCCATTCTTTTCTTTTATAGTTACTTTGTTATCATCCCCTTCTAAACTGCCTTCAGTATCTGGGATAAGGAAGACAAGGCTTAATGACCACTAAGGTTCTAGCTGACATCTTTCATACTGAATTTTTGTGAGTTGTCATCTGTTTTCTGTTTATGTGTCCTAGGTTCTTGACCTAACCATGTTTGTTTTTTTTTTAAAACATGAGAACTTAACAAAAGTTTGTTTTATAGCAGTATTATGGAACAGAAGAGACCATTTTAAATGATACCTATGTATATATTTTTTAACATATAGCCAAAACATACAAAAGATATGTTTTCTAGAGACAGGGTCTTGCTTTGTCACCAGGCTGGAGTGCAGCCTCTACCACCTGGGTTCAAGCGATCTTCCTGCCTCAGCCTCTTAAGTAGTTGGGACTACAGGTGTGTGCTACCATGCTTGATATATATATATATAGATAGATAGATGGATAGATTTTATTTTATTTATTTTTTTTTTTTTTGAGAGAGAGTCTTGCTGTCACCAGGCTGGAGTGCAGTGGCTTGGTCTTGGTTTACTGCAACCTTTGCCTCCCAAGGGTTCAAGCAATTCTCTTGCCTCAGCCTCCCAAGTAGCTGGAACTATAGGCGCGTGCCACCAAGCCCTGCTAATTTTTGTATTTTTAATAGAGATGGGATTTCACTATGTTGGCCAGGCTGGTCTCAAACTCCTGGCCTCGACTGCTCTGCCTGTCTCAGCCTCCCAAAGTTTTGGGATTACAGGCGTGAGCCACTGCACTGGCTGCTAATGTATTTTTTGTAGAGATGGCAGTCTTACTATGTTGCCCAGGTTGGTCTTGAACTCCTAGCCTCAAGTGATCCTCCTGCCTCAGCCTTCCAAAGTGCTGGGAGTACAGGTATGAGCCACCATGCCCAGCCCAAGAAGTTTACTTAAGAGTTTCTTTATACTGGCTTTGGACTAAAAAATACTGAAAACAGATTTTCATGGAGAAAAAAAAAACCTAGCTCTTTAATAAGACTGTTTTATATACTTTTTTACATTGGTGAAGTACATTATTTTTACTAAACAGCATTGTTTCCCACTACATCCATGGTTATGTATAAAAAAATGCCATTGTCAATTAAGATTTTAAAAACTTAACTTCCATAAGAGGATTAAATTCTAATCTATGATTCATTTAACCTACTTTACAAACACTAGGTAAAGTAATCTAACAAGCTGCCAAAGAACACATCCCAAGTAGTAATCACAGATGATGAAGCACCTTACAGGACACCTCCACCTTGAAACACGTGAGTGTCCAGAGAAGTATTAAAGCCTTAATAATAGACTACTGAAGGTTAACTATTTACATTATTCTAAAAATATTTTAAGCTGTATTACAGTGCTATAAATTCTTCTTTTAAGGAAAAAAGTAATAGATTGTTTCCTTACCGTATTCTGAAAGGAAAAAAATATATCCATAGTAACTAGTGGTCTGCTGATTTTTTCCCTGAATTTTTAAACTCCAACAAAGCATTACTTTGCAAAAAGTCCTTTAGCCCAAAGTCAGTGTCTCTGTTTTGATCTCTTTGTAAAAGAACTCTCTGTTCATCCATTCTTTTTGCCTGAGATCGTAAAATAAGGCTGAAAAAGTCGTCATCTGGTACTGTCGGACCCTTTGTGGTAGCAGGTGGCGGAGTACATCTTTGATCATCTAACCTGGATCCCTAAAAGTTTATGAGAAAGAAATTTAAAGACATACTGTGGGAAATAAAAGCATGAAGCTATGTAATATCTCTGTCAGTCATAACAAGAAAATGCAGTTTTGTAAGCTATTTTTTGGGCTTCTCAGAAATTAATCTTTAGACCTCAAACTACATAAAATTCTTTTTTAAAAATGAATTAAGTATAGCTGCTTACGTAAGTATAGCTGCTTCATGGGTTTAGTATGTGCATTATATTAAGTCATACTATTTTAATTATAATTGGTCACAAGGAATAATCTGAGACAAGGTCAACAGTGTACAACAGCTTAAGGTTATAATTAACAAGCATCAACAGTGCAACAACAAATCTTTAGAAGTATGTACAAAACCCATGAGGAACCACATTAAAAAAATCACATAGGCTAGTAGACAGCAAACTATAACCCAATGCCTGCTTCTGTAAATGAGGTGTCATTTTCATTTCTCCATCAATAAATACATTTGTTTATATATTGTCTGTATGGCTGCTTCCCTACTAAATGGCAGAGTTGGGCAGTTGCAACAGAGACCATATGGCCTGCAAAGCGTAAAATATTTTCTATCTCGCCCTTTACAGAAAAAGTTTGCCTGCCTCTGTCTTAGGCAGTTAAATCTGTTAAGAAATAGCCCAGACTGAATTTTTTTTTAGACGAAGTCTCGCTCTGTCACCAGGCTGGAGTACAGTGGTGCAATCTCAGCTCACTGCAACCTCTGCCTCCCGGGTTCCAGTGATTCTCCTGCCTCAGCCTCCCAAATAGCTGGGACTACAGATGCCTGCCACCACACCCAGCTAATTTTTTGTATTTTTAGTAGAGACGGGATTTCACTATGTTGGCCAGGATGGTCTCGATCTCCTGACCTTGTGACCCACCCGCCTCGGCCTCCCGTGTTGGGATTATAGGTGTCAGCCACCATGCCCGGCCTATTAGACATGCTACTCATCAAATAAAAAGTACAAGCACTAACAAGTACACACCATAGTTTCTGGCATTGTAGCTCAATAATAAGAATAAAAGTGTGATAGCTGATATTTGAGTACCCACTACATTGTTGGGAACAGTGACAAGCACATAGATCCCTCAACATTTACTCCTGCAACCCTTAGAGGTACAGTTAACTGCCCTCCTAAGTCAGTGCTGCCTTCACACATACCTGGCTCACTCATTTCTCCTGTCCTAAGTTGATAATTTCAGTGTCCTCCAATTAACCCAACACTTGAACACTTCAGTTCCTAGACTTCTGATTTAGTGTTCTCATCCTTCACTTCAGCCTTAACCATCTGGCTCCCATGGTTGCAGTCTAGCCTCTTATTATCTCCATAGAAATGCCTTTTCCAGTTCTTTGCCCATTCTTTTCTTTGCCCATTTTGAATCAAGTTTTTTTCTGTTGAGTTTTAGGAGTTCTCTATATATTCTGGATATTAATCCCTTATTGGATATGTGATTTCCAAATACTTTATCTTGGGTTGCCTTTTTTTTTTTTTTTTTTTTTGACAGTCTTTTTCTTTTGCCAGGTTGGAGTGCAGTGGTGCAATCTCAGCTCACTGCCTCAGCCTCCTGAGTAGCTGGGATTACAGGCACATGCCACCACGCCCAGCTAATTTTTGTTTTGTATTTTTAGTAGAGATGGGGTTTCACCATGTTGGCCAGGATGGTCTCGAACTCCTGACCTTATGATCCACCTGCCTTGGCAGAGGCTGACAGAACTCCTTTCCATTTTTGGAAGGAACAGTTTGAGAAGGCATGGTGTTCTTTAAATGTTTGATAGAATGCACCAGTAAAGCTATCAGGTCCAGGGCTTTTTATCAGGTTTTCGGTTACTGATGCAATCTCCTTACTATGGGTGTATTTTCTGTTTCTTCATCATTTCTTCTTGGTAAGTTTGTATTTCTAGTAATTTGAATCTTCTTTTAAAATTTGTCTAGCTAAAAGTTTGTCAATTTTGTTAATCTATTTTCAAAACGTCAGCTTCATTGATTTTCTCTATTTTTTTCTGTTCTGCATTTTATTTATCTGTGCTATAATCTTTATTTTTCTCTCCTGCTAGTTTAGGGTTTTGTTCTTCTTTTTTTCGTTCCTTATGTTGTAAAGTCAGGTTGTTGACTGCAGATCTTTTGTAATTACTGTAAACATTTACAGCTATGATTTTCCCCTTGGCACTGCCTTTGCTGTGTCCCATACGTTTTAGTATATTTTTTTATTTGTCTCTATTTTACAATTTCCATTGTGATGTCTTTCATGGATTAGTCGTTTTAAGAGTCTGTTTAATTACCACAAATTTGTGAGTTTTCCCCATTTTCCTTTTGTTACTGCTTATTTTATCCCATGGGGTCAGAGAAGGTACTTTTTATGTTTTAAATCTATTGAGAATTTGTGGCCTAACATGTGGACTGATCTGAAAATGTTCCATGTGCACTTAAAATGACTGGGCACGCTGCTGTTGTTGGTAGTGTGCTGTATACACGTGTTAGACCTAGTTGGCGTGCTCTGTTGTTCAAACCCTCCATTTCCTTATCTTCTGTCTAGCTGTCCCATCCATTAATGAGCATGGGATATTGAATTCCTCTACTATTTTTGTAGATCTATCCATTTCTCCCTTCAATTCTGTTAATTTTTGCTTCAGATATCTTGATGATTTGTTATGTATCTTTAGTATTCCTTCAATCTACTGGGACCACTGCTACTTTTTACTTCACACCTTTCATTTCTTTATTTCCCTTCTTACAGCCTAGATTCTAAAGTCCATTATTAAAATCACTTCCTGGCACATGTCTTCAACTACCAGTCTTTCCCCTATATCCAGTACTCCTGGCAAAATATCAATCTTGGTTTTTCTCTCTGCCTCAAGCAGCTGGTTATGACTGGATAAAATACACAGTTGCACTCACCAGTTTTACTTCCAGTGACTGTGAGCTTCAGGTAGGGGTTAAAAAAATTTTTTTGAAATGGAGTCTCACTCTGTCACCTGGGCTGGAGAGCAGTGGTATGACTTTGGCTCACTGCAACCTCCGCCTCCAGGGTTCAAGCAATTTTCCTGCCTCAGCCTCCTGAGTAGCTGGGATTATAGGTGCCCACCACTATGCTCAGTGAATTTTTTGTATTTTTAATAGAGATGGGGTTTCACCATGTCGGCAGGCTGGTCTTGAACTCCTGACCTTGTGATTCGCCTGCCTCGGCCTCCCAAAGTGTTGGGATTACAGGCATAAGCCATCGTGCCCAGCCTAATTTTGTATTTTTAGAAGAGACAGGTGATCCGTCTGCCTCTGCCTCCCAAAGTGCTGGGATTCCAGGCGTGAGCCACTGTGCTGGGCCCCAGGTGGGTTCTTAGCACAGCACAGTATTCTTAATACTTTTCCGCTAGTTTCAGTTTCTCTAAGTCAACTATTTCTCACTTCCTTTCTCTTCAAATTTATAGTGCTCCCCATCCCCAATCTTAATGAATGACTCTACTTCTTTCTTTGGTGAGAAAATAAAAGCGGCCAGAGAGAATTCCTACTTGCTCCCATCTCCAAATCTGTACTTTGCTTTCTCTCTGTCACCTACATAAAAACTGTTCTTCAATTATCCCAGACTTACCTACATCACTGACTCCCTTCTTTACTTGACTATTTCTGTCTGTAAACTGTTATCACCCAAAATAAGAAAAAAATTTTTTTTTGCCGTATACTTCTTTTCTAGCGAATGATCCACTGAACTCATTAAAGTTTTCTATATTTACTATCTCCCCTTTCACACTTCCTATTTTCTCACCCCACTCAATCCTTTGTCCCCACCGTGCCACAGAAACAGTATCTTTCAAAATTATTAATAAACTCCATGTTACCAAATTTAGTAGGTTCAGATATCATCTGACTCAGGTTCTTAGCAACATTTGCCACAGTTGAACATTGCTTAGGATACATTCTTCACTTGATTTCCACCACATCACATGCTCAGGGTATCCTTCGAACTCTCTGGCTATTGCTACTTTGCCAGCTCATCTTTCTCCATCTAACTAGTAAATTCTGAAATGCTCAGGGCTTAGTCTTGGACCTCTTTCTGTCCTATTCTTTAGGTAATTTCTTTCTAGGGCTCTCCCAAATTTATTTTCCCCTGGGCTCCAGATTTGACATCAAATTGCCTATTTAACACCTCTACTTCATTGTCTATGCCAGTCTCACCTGCCATTCCTTGAACGGGCTAACAGCTTACCAAATTGAACATGTCTAAAACAGAACTCTTGCTTTTTCTCCCCAAACTTGTTTCTCCTCTAGTCATCTCTGTTTCAGTAAATCGAACCATTCATTTCCCAGTTGCTCAAGGTATAAGTCATTCTTGATTCTCTCTTTCCCTGAAATCCTTTATCCAACTTATTAGTAGGTCCTGCCAACTAACCATAATATATAACTGATATAACTAATAATACAGCCCTGTGCTGACTACTTCTCACTGTCACCACTCTAGTCCACATCACCAATATTTTTTGCCTGCATCACTATACAGTCTTCCTGGCTGGTTTTCATACTAACAGACTTGCCACTCGACATTCTTCTATCAGTAGCCAGCATCCTTTCTGAGGACACTTCCAGTACCTCCCTAATACATCTAAAACACAGACTTCATTGTGGCCTCCAAGAGCCTATATCTAGGCCCTGATTACCTCTCCACCATCATTTGGTACCACTCTCCCCCTTCCCCTACTCATCCCATGCCAGTCACATTTGCCCTTCCTTGAACTGGCTAAGCTTTTATATCAAAGAGGGGACTTGCTGCCTCTGCATGGAATATTCTTTCTCTAGATACTCACATGGCTGGCTGCTTCACTGCATTCAGCTTCACTGAATTCATGTCTCTGTTCAAATGACAATCCAGAAAGGTCTTCTCTAACCACCCTATCTAAAACAGACACTCCCCCTACCACCACCACCTTTGCTTACTCACTATTCCTTTATCCTCCTTTAAAGTTCTTCATAGCAAGTATGATTACCTAATACAACACACATACACAAACACACACACACACTCTCTATAGATATACACACACTTGTACCCACTTCTGTGTCCTAAAATGTAAGATCCTTTAAAAATTTAGTGTATCCTCAATGCCTAGAATAGCTCCTGAAACATAATCAGTGTTCAATAATTTTTTACTGAATGGACAATTTTAACTCTCTAATACAAAATAAGCCCTTCCGGAATGAGAATTATAACACTGCCAATGTTCTTCATGGTACCTAAGCTGTATGCAGAATGAAAAAAACATACATACTTGACATTTTACAAGGATGTCAAAGAAATCTTCATCAGCATCTTTGTTGTCATTAGTCATCAGGTGGCTAAGTACTGACTGGCTGTTGTTTTGTGTTAGACGAAGCCCTGGCAAATTATTGAAACTGGCCCTCTGGTCATCCAGACGGCGGCTCTGTGAGCTGGCAAGAAGGTCCAAAAACTCATCCGTGTTGGGGGATACCACAGGAACAGATGGTGCTAAGAACAGAAGAACAAAGCCAAAGGTTAACAAAAACCCTAAGCACATTTATTATATACCTAGATCTTTTTGGCCTCGCCAGTCCCAATACCTGCCCTGCCCTCCAGCTACAGCGCTGCCACTGATGTTGGCTAGATAGGTGCGGTTTTTATTGGTGGGAGGGAATAATGAGCCTCAGAGTACTTCAAATGACCCGCTTGGAGGCTACTCAGATTTGGCTGTATTTATCTGTTTAATGCGCACTCAAAATGTAACTATAAGATATGTGACTAGATTTTAGAAGGTGAATGAACTGTTTTTCTTACATCATTTTTCAGACCAGGATGTATGGGACAGTGCTTTTTTATTCCATGCCCTGGATACAAATCATTTAGTAAACTAACAGTTAAGTGCTGCTGGCAAGTCTTGGTCTATGGTATAAGAAGTCTTTTGGTAGCTGAAATAGAAAAATTTAAGTACCTTATTTTAGTCCTTTCTAAGTCAGCCAGGCCTTAGCCTCAGCCTTGGCCATAGGCTCCTCTTCAGTCTGTCTTCATTTTTCTTTTTTAATCCAGATATGAAATATTGACATTTTATATATAATCACAAGGTATGTATAACTATCTTTCCTCCTCATTTTTATTTTTAAAAGTTATATTTAGGGTGGGCACGGTAGCTCATGCCTGGAATACCAGCACTTTGGGAGGCTAAGGCAGGAGGATCACTTGAGGCCAGGAGCTCAAGACCAGCCTGGACAACACAGCAAGACCTCGTCTCCACAAAAAATAGAAAAAAAAATTGGCTGGGCATGGTGGTGTGTGCCTGTAGTCCCAGCCACTTGGTAGGCTGAGGTGGGAGGATCGCTTGAGCACAGGGGTTCAAGGCTGCACTGACTGTGATCATGCCCAGGCACTCCAGCTTAGCTAACAGCAAGATCTTGTCTCTAAATAAATAAAACCAGATTTTATTTTTATATATGATTTAGACAAAGGGTCTAACTATGCTGCCCAGGCTGGAGTGCAGTGGCTATTCACAAACACAATCATTGCAAACTATAGCCTCAAACTCTTGGCCTCAGCGATTCTCCCACTTCAGCCTCCCAAGCAGCTGAGATTACAGGCATGCAGCACCATACCTGGCTCACAGTCACATTTTCCCCAACAGATTTTTCAAAGAAAACTAGGAGATAGTATGATATAGTTATGAAAGCACACTGGACTAAAAAGAGATATACTTCAGGGAACTGAAAAAACCTTGTTTGAACTGTATAAACAGCAGCATTTCAGATACACCTGGATTCAGGCTCATTTATCATATCTCCTATGATGGGAACGAAATTCTCAGAAATAAATCACAAGCATATCAAAATGGACTATTAAAACTGGGGGAGAAACAGAGATGACTCACTTTTTAGCATCATTTTGAGGGGAGTAGAAGTTGCTGTTGAAGCTGGATGGCAGTTCTTTTCTTGTAAACAGCATCTCTGATCATCCATCCTATTGCTTTGAAATCGGCTTAATAAGTCAAAGAACCCTTCATCGCCAATAGTATCTGCACTGATTTTCTAAAATATTGAGAGGAAGTCCAGTTCATTTGAAATATTCCAGTATTATCTTTAGATCATCAGTGAACATCATGATGCATTCAAATGCAAAAGGTAAAGGATGAGGATTAAAATAAATTAAAAATTGATCTTTTATTTTAAAAAAGAATACAAGATGGAAAATATTGGTAATAAAAGGCTATTTTAATCCAACTAACAAAAAGCACTTCTAGTTTTTAATTCCTGTGTTTCTAAGGCTAAAGAAACATACCTCAGACTTAAGAGAGCTGCTACAGATACTGAATTATGCAAACACTGGTGATACAGGCCTGTACTTCAGGCTCCACATTCAGTTCTAAACATTATAATACAGTGGAATTTAAGTATACTTATCTCTTTGTAAGAGCTGTTTAAGAAAGAAAACAGGTGTATTTTCCTAGTATAGTGATTTCTTTTTTTTTTTTTTTTTTTTTTTTTTTTAGGAGGGGTTTTACTTTTTTTTTCCCAGGCTGGAGTGCAATGGGGCGATCTCGGCTCACCGCAACCTCCACCTCCTGGGTTCAGGCAATTCTCCTGCCTCAACCTCCTCAGTAGCTGGGATTACAGGCATGCGCCACCATGCCCAGCTAATGTTTTTGTATTTTTAGTAGAGACAGGGTTTCACCGTGTTGACCAGGATGGTCTCGATCTCTTGACCTCGTGATCCACCCGCCTCGGCCTCCCAAAGTGCTGGGATTACAGGCTTGAGCCACCGCGCCCGGCCTCCTAGCATAGTGATTTCTAAGGTCTTTTTATTATATTAGATTTGAAGATCTTGAAAAAATACAAACTTCAAATAAATGAATATTTGTGAGGAGAGGAAGACCTATATTCTTCATCTGGAAGGCTTCAAAACTGAAATGATGAATGCAATGTTTAATACAAGTAATTTTTTTTTTCATAATGATGTATTATAATAGAAGCACATATACAAAAAATGTTATGGGCCTGAGGAAGATAGAGGAACTAACTTTTAGGAGAAATAGGGAAAATTTCACAGCACATACTTGTGTTGGCTCCTTAAGAATGAGTAGGCATTTGCAGGTGAGAGACGTTTCATACTAGTTAATATGCAGTCCAAAAAGTTTGTAGTACAGTATTAAAGAGATGATGTAGGGGTAGGTACAGAGGAAGAAAGAGGCCTTTGTAAGCAATACTAACAAATGTAGACTTTATCCTATGTGAAATAATAGGAGTAATGTCAGTAGTCAATTTTAATCAGTTTTCTTTAGATATAATAATGAAGGGCCGGGCGCGGTGGCTCAAGCCTGTAATCCCAGCACTTTGGAAGGCCGAGGCGGGTGGATCACGAGGTCAAGAGATCGAGACCATCCTGGTCAACATGGTGAAACCCCGTCTCTACTAAAAATACAAAAAAAATTGGCTGGGCATGGTGGTGCGTGCCTGTAATCCCAGCTACCCAGGAGGCTGAGGCAGGAGAATTGCCTGAACCCAGGAGACGGAGGTTGCGGTGAGCCGAGATCGCGCCATTGCACTCCAGCCTGGGTAACAAGAGCGAAACTCCGTCTCAAAAAAAAAAAAAAAATGAAG